AGGTAGCTATCTGTCACCTTTTGCTACCTGGGAAATGTCATACTCAATCCAGACCAATTCCATGCAATGCAATAAGGAAGAATGGATATAACTGGATGAATCAGGGTGCTGTCCTGTGGACCTAGGTCTCTTTTTGACCTGGCGAAAGGATCCACAACCAGTTTTCACTTCTCCTGGAGCTAGAAGAGAGCTTATTGGCCAGTTCCATCCCTTTTTCTCCTGTTTCACAGATGCTAAAACTAGCTCAAGAAAAGAGAAGTGACCCTCACAGATGCCATATAATCAATTGGTGGAAATACTGGATGTGGTCCCTTGTTCTCCACACTCTCAGCCCAGAGTCTCACTCTCTGCTCTCGGGTACCCTGTGTCCTGGCTCCTGGCCGCAGCCCGTGTGTGATGGAGAAGGCAGGTCAGCAGAAGAGGGTCTGTGCTGGTGTTGGATGGGGGAAGGGCTCCTGAGAGCCTTCCAGAGGCCCGACAACAGCCTAGACATTTTACATCCATCACCTTCGCTAAAAGTTCCAAGAATATGTAAGGGGAGAAGCACTGTTGATTTACAGAAGAGGAAAATGAGTCTTGGAGAGGCTAAGACCTTTGTCCAAGGCCACGGCTGCTGAGCCCCAGGGCTGGGTTGAAAGAGCAGTACTCAGGTCTGTCTCATCTTCTACTGCCGTGGGAAGCCGCGTGTCACTCAAGCCACGCTTGCCCTAGGGTTTGAACAGCATTCTTGCAGGGCACACTGGAGCAAGCAGCAGCGTCCAGGGTGGGCCGTGTGTCTCTGGACCGGGCTTCTCCTCCCTGAGTCCCTTCCACCCCTGCCCACGCACATCCCCACAGCGCCTGATCTCTGTGGTCCTGGCCTTACCAACCGCAGCACCCCCTCTGTCCAGAGGGTCAAGGGGTCATTCCTAAGCCTAGAATCACTCCAGGTACTTTGGATAGACAACCTCTCCAAGCTCAGCATCTTCATCTGTAAACTGGGCTCAACAGTATCTGCCTTGCTGCACTGCGGGGAAGAGTGGGCCAGTGGGTGCTCCCCCCATAAATACTCCTTCCCTCCCCTCTCCCGTCTGTCCAGGGCCAGCTCTGCTGATGATCTTTGGGCTTTAGCGTCCTCTCTTGTCTCTGCTGTGCCCTAGATACAGGCTGGGAATGTCCTAGAGAGCCTGCCTTCCTACTGGCTTCCTCCCTGCATCCAGCATCCCCTTTCTGAGCATCCCGGTGCCCGACTTGAGCAACGCTGAGGGGGATCCATCCTGGGGAGCCTTGAGAAGCTGCCCGGGGGTGTGGGCTGTCCAGCAGGGTCAGATGGTGGCCCAGGGACATCCCTCAAGGTCCTGAGCCCAGATAGCCATTCCCCAACCCAGGCTCTACGAGGAGCCTGGTGGACATGCTCTGTAGGGGACCCCCAGAGCCCTGATATCGTGTGAATGTCACCTAAAGGGACTGGTGCAGGAGTGCTCACGGCCACTGCCCTGGGCCTCAGGAGCCGGGAGTGAATGTGTATGAAGAAGCCCTGCTGCCTGCCAGGACCTGCTGGGGACTTTTCCCTCCTTCCTTTGCTCCCTCCCCTCCCTCTGCCTAGAATGCCCTTCACGACTGCTTTTCTCTGGGTGATCCTATTTGTGCTCACGGTCAGAACAAGGGTTGCCTCTTTCAGGGAGTCCCCCAGTGCCCCCAGGAATAGACACCCCTACAGTGCCCCCTCTCAGCTTCACCAGAAAAATGCCCGTTGTCTGAGCTGGTGTAAATAAACGGTGCTCCGCAAGCTGTTCCACTGGAAGATTTCAGCAGCAGAGAATAAGCACTGGTGTTTCAGGTCACAGAATAAAACTGTCACAATGACAGCTCCTTTTGTCTTAGTGGCTAATGTGAGCTTTGCAGTATCCTCCAAAATCTACACTCTCGTAACACAAAAGTTTTATCATATTATATAAACTTTTAAACATTTATTTTTAACTGGAGGATAGTTACTTTACTATGTTGCGTTGGTTTCTGCCATACATCAACATGAATCAGCCATAGGGATGCATATCTCCCCTCCCTCTTAAATCTCCCTGCCGTCCCTCTAGCTTGTCACAGAGCACCGGGTTGAGCTCCCTGCGTCATACACCCAATCCCCACTAGCTATCTACTTCACACACGATGATGTGCACGTTTCAATGGTATTCTCTTGTTTGTACCACCCTCTACTTCCTCCACGGTGTCCAAGCCTGTTCTCTGTGTCTGCAATCTCTGTTGCTGTCCTGCCAATAGACTCATCAGTGCCATTTTTCTAGGTTCCATATATATGTGTTAATATACAATAAGTTACATAAAATTTTATTTGTCACAATCCTTCAAAGAGATACATGCCCCTCCATAAGTTAATGTGTTTTCTCCAGCTTGAGAATCACCAACCTAGACGTGGGGAGTGGAGGAGACATCTAAAGCCGACATAAGGCATTGGGATCAACTATTTCTGGAGCTGGAGACTCTTCTGCCATTTCTTACCTGGGTCTTGTTGCTCCATCTCTGGACCACTTACCTTTCTCTGAAGTGACTCTGATGCTTCGGGCAAGTACTGCAGTGTCAGGCCAGCACAGTAAGGGAGGAAATGTTGATCAGCTGGAGACTTTACCATAAATTTCAAAATTCACCTGATAAAAGGGCATTTGCCACTTTTCCTACTTCTTTATGGTCTTTAACCAGGCTTGGTTCACCCTTGGGGGCTCTGGAAGTGTCTGCCGAATGAGTGAATGGAGTTCTCAAGACCAGAATCAACAAGGTTGATCCTTACTGAATGCCGGCCAGAAGGTTGAATGAGTGATTGCAGGAATGAATGAAGCTTCTGGGCAAACGGGGTGGAAGGTGTGCAGGAAAAGTAAATGGTATGCAGCCCATTTCATCCCCACAGCATCATTATGAGAAAGGTACCTTTGTGAGTCTGCTTGGGCTGCCGTAACCAAATGCCACACGCTGGATGGCTTAAGCGACAGAGATTTAATTTCTCACAGTTCTGAAGGCTCGGCGCCCATGCCCAGGAGGCCAGCAGAGTCAGGCCCTGGGGAGGGCCCTTCCTGAGGTGCAGACTGCCGCCCTCCTGCTGCGTGTTCACGTCATCTCTTCGTGTGACACAGAGAAGGAGGGACGGCGTGTGTTCTGTTGTCTGTTCTTACAAGGGTTCTGATCCCACTGTAAGCGGCCCACCCTCACAACCTCATGTGGACTGAATTACCTCCCAAAGACCCTGCTTCCAAATACCATATACCATCCCATCGGGGTGAAAGGCTTCAACACGTGAATTTTGAGGAGATGTAATTCAGTCCACAGCTCTGCTAAATGTGCCCATCAGTTTAGGCTGGCTTATGCCACGGCAACAAACATTCCCAGCATGTCAGTTGCTGAAAGCAACACAGGTTTGTTTCATCCACCTGCTCCACGTCCAGCACAGGGCACCGAGGGGCCTCTGCCTTTCATGGTCATTTCATGGTCACCATGGGTATGGTGGCCAGGGGAAGGATGGGGCAAATCACCTACCATTTCATTGGCTAAAGGAACTCATAAAGCTATTTCTAAGTTCAAAATACGTAGGGGGAAACAAAATTACTTCTCTGAGTGTTTGAAGAGCATCTGAAAGCACATATTGTCTATTAAAAGAGAAAGTGGATGGAGAAGTGCAACCACACCATGTGTCCAGAAGGAGAATTAGAGTGTTTGTGAACAGCCCAAATGACCCGTGTCATCTTATTCCCATTATACAGGTAGATAAACCGAGGTAAAGAGAAGTTAAGAAAATTTTCCCAAGGTCACTCAGTTAGTAAGGAGTGGAGCCAGGATTTGCACCCAGGAAGCCTGATTTGTGAGCCTAAGAGTAAGGCTGGCAAGGCAGACCTCTGATGGTCTCCTATTCTGTCCTAGAGGAAGGGCAGGCCATATACCACAGGTGCTAAGAGGAGGCCAGGAGACTGGCACATTCAGGCATCACTTGTTCTATAACATGCCCCACCAAGGAGCTGCCACTGTCCCCCAGAGCAACACAGGAAGCATAAGGCTCACTGGATGGGCCCAAACTGGATTAATGACAAGGCACTGATCTCATAGTTTGCCACAGGCCAGGCACCAATACACGCAGCATGGAAGCATCTGAAGTTTCCCCTCCCAGTCTCAGAATCAAGTTCACTGTTCCCACGAGCACCCCTGCAATCCTTGGCATGGAAAGCTCCTCACTCCACTCCAGGTCCTTGAGATGCCTGACGTGTCCTTCTACCCATCAACACCAAGAATCCATGTGAACCTTGAAGGGCTGGGCCCTGCTTGCCGGGGCCTCTTTCCCACCTCCCCTGCCCCTTGTACTTGGTGTTGTTGCCTTCAACATCCTACTGGTTCCTAGTGCTCAAGACTAGCCTGGACATCCTTTTGTTGGGCCCTCCAGGGGCCCAAGAATCCCCTTAGCAGAAGTGAATTTAGTTAAATAGGTGCACGGAGTTGATCTGAAGAGGATTGAATGAAGAAGAGTGCTTGTCTGGATATCAAATCCCTCCTGGGTTAACTGCTCAGCATAGTCTGGGTAGACATGAGCTAGACTTGCTGTCGCTTTATACCAATATCTGGTCAATTTGGAAACCTAGTCTATAGTAAACAGACAGGCGGATGGATGAATGGATACATGGACAACAGATGGATGGACAAATGAATAGGTGGATGGACAGAAGGAGGATGAATGGATGGATGGATGGATGGACAAATGGATGCAGGGAGGGATGAATGCATGGATGGATGGATGAATGGACAGAGGGATGGATGAATGCATGGACGGATGGATGGATAAACGCATGGATGGATGGATGGACTGACAGATGGATGGAGGGATGGTGAACGCACGGACGTATGAATGGACAGATGGATGGCTGGTTACTGGAGCTGTAATCCTATGCAGCTTCCTATCAAGTCTTTTCAGGACTGTGAGCTCGTGCGATCCTGGCACAGGTCAGATCAGTAAATGCTCGATGAATGAATGAATGAGGCCAGAGACCAGCACCAAGTCTGGACGAGACTCACTAGCAGGACCTCGGGCTCTTGCCCCCGGGTCCAAGGGCTGCCCCAGCCAGCTCACGGTTTCCACTGACGAAAGCTCCTCGGCGGTGCCCAGCATTACTGACCACAAGTTTGCACGTGAGGCACGGCGGAAGCGCACGGGAGCCTCAGAGAGCGCCTTTTGGACAGCTTATCTCTTGGCAAGATTAAGCCGGCTCTCCACGGAGGGGCCCGTATTGCAGGTCTGCAGGGAGGGCCAGGCCCGCCGCGTTTGCACCTTTTACCCGGCATCTGTCCCTGGGATCAGCAGAGCTGGAGGCTGGATTAGACGGGTCAGCGCCCTGATTGACAGTGACACTTCCACCCGCGCCCCCGCCTGCCCCCCGGCCTCTCCCGCTGTTCCTCTCCTGCCCCACCCGGGCCCCATCCTGTTCCCGAGAGCGGCCACTGCCTTCTAATCTCCTTACCAGGAAATTATTTTCCTGGGTGTGAAATCCCTGCCCTGGGAGGGAGGGCCGCAGAGCAGCCTGCCCTGGCCTGGAGGCTGACCACAGGGCCGGCTCCCAGGGACATCTGGCATGGGGGTGGGGACAGCCACGGCTAGCAGTGGGCACCGCTCAGGCGGTTCCATCCCAGATATGACCCTGCCCTCCAGAGTGGGCTGTCCCCACGCTGCCTTCCCCTCTCTCCATTCAAGGGACTTTTTGAGAATGGGAGCTGCCTGCCAGTTGGTGACTGACCCCTCCAGGAGAGAGCAGCACGGAGGTGGTGTGGGTGGCACTGGGAAGGACCTGGCCCCTGGGGAGGTGGCTGGGACCCCACCCTGGCCCTGCGCCAGCTGCTCTGTGACTCTGGACACATCCCAGCCTCTGTGACCTCAGTTTCCTCCTGATGTGACCATGAATGGACTCTGAAGTCAGGCGCGGGGTCTGCATCTCACATCCCGGATCTGGGTGTGTGTGGCTACAGGAACACGGCTGGGGCAGCAGGAGAGCAGCCCTGAGCCCCAGAACGTTCCTCAAAGGGGCTCGGGTCCAACTGGCGACAGGTTTCAAGGGACTATTTGCCTGTGATAGCTCCTAAGACCACAAAGAAAAACCTTAGAGGAAGCAGGGTGGAAGCCGGGGGCCCTGTGTAATTCATAATATCCACAAACCTGTGGTCAGACCGAGGGATGAACCCGTGAGGAACAGGGCTGGGACAGCTCTTTAATGCACATGCTCGCAGCTGCCTGTCAAGGTGGTGGGGGAGGAGGGGAGGGGTGCTCTGACTATACCACGGGGCTACGTGACCTTGGACCATTGGTAACTTCTCTGTGCCTCAGTTTCCTCAACTGTGAAGTGCAGATACAGCAGCCTTTTAAAAAATATATATTTATTTATTTGGCTGCATCAGATCTTCGCCGCAGCACACAAACTCTCTAGTTGAAGCATGTGGCTGAGTTGCTCCATCGTATGTGGGATCTTAGTTCCCTGACCAGGGATCAAACCTGCGTCCTTAGCTTTGCAAGGCAAATTCTTCAACAACTGGATCACCAGGGAAGTCCCCAGCAACTCTGCCTCATAGGCTTGTTGTGAGGATTTCGGGGCATGAATATATGTAAAATTCTTAGACAGGTCACTGGAACGAGTGCTGCTTTATGATTACTATTATTGTTATTATTTATCACTATTGTCTGTCACAGAGCAGCGCTCAAGCCATTTTTTGCGGCTGTGGGCTGAATTGCATCCTCTAAAAAGATGTGTTGAAGTCCTGACCCCTGACACCTGTGAATGAGATCTTTTTTTGGAAATACCTAGGGCTTCCCAAGCGGTGCTAGTGGTAAAGAACCCACCTGCTAATGCACAAGCCATGAGAAAGGCAGGTTCAGTCCCTGGGTTGGGAAGATCCCCTGGAGGAGGGCATGGCAGCCCACTCCAGTGTTCTCGCCTGGAGGATCCCATGGACAGAGGAGCCTGGCCGGCTACAGTTCGTGAAGTCGCAAAGAACCAGACATGACTGAAGTGACTTGGCACGCACACACAGAGTCTTCAGAGATGTAATCAAGATAAGACGAAGTCCCGCTGGAGTAGAGCGGGCCATTTTTCCAATGCAACTGTCATCCTTATTGGAGAGACACAGAGACAGTCACAGGTGGAGAAGGCCCTGTGGGGACAGGGGACAAGATCAGGGTGACGCAGCTGCAGCCAAGGAGCCCCAAGCCCACACTGAAGCTGGGAGGAGGCGAGGCAGGATCCTGCCTGAGTCTCAGAGGGAGCAGGGCCCTGCCAACACCTTGATTTTGGACTTCTGGCCCCCAAGACTGTGAGACAGCCCCTTTCTGTCTTCAGCCACCTGTTCGTGGTGCTTTCGGAGCGGCCCTCAGAGGCTGTTACAATAACCAGAAGACTGACTGCAGACCAGGCAGTCCCAGCACACAGTAGGTGCTCATTCAGGGCTGGCTCCTCTGCTTGCAGGATGCCTGAGGATGGGGAAGGTGGGGTTTGGGGAGGGCCCAGTGTCTACGCCCTCTTCCAGGCCTGGCCATGGGCCTTGGTGTGGCTGATAGGGACCCTCAGGGCTGCTGGCTGGAGGAGGCGTGGCTTTTTGATGTGTGTGTCTGACCTCCTGGCCACAGGTCGGCCATCAGAGGTGAAGAGGGTGCGGCTGTGGGGTCTTGCTGACAGAGTCAAGGGTCCCGGCATCAGCGACACCTCTGAGAGGATGCAGCTGCCTTTGAACCAGGCTCTCTGGATGGGCAGACAGAAAACAGGCCCCAGGGCAGGGCTCCCTCCTCTGCTCCCCGATTCACCCTCACGGGAACCCTGTGCCCCTAGAGACCCTGATGTGGTCCAAACACCTCGGGGGTTGTGAGCTCCCAGAGAAGGGCTGCCACACTGCCTGTCCTGGGAGCCCCTGGGGGAGGTGCTGGGGTCCCGGCAGAGGAGAGCCTCCTGTGTGCTGGCAGGCTGTGGGTAGAGCATATTTACACAGGGCATCTCTGCGGGGCCGTACAAGCACACTTGCCCTGCAGACACGGAGACTGAGGCTCAGCCAATCCCACACTGGCCACTGAGCAGACGGAAGTTAGGCTTCCACCCAGTCCCTTGGGCCCCAAGGCCCAAGTCCTCTGTGTGCTTTTTTAAGCAGAAAAAATTTCCCCTCAAGCGGTCCTAAACATTTCCACCCACCTGTAAGCCCTTTGCCTATCCAGTACTTTGGAACACCAATGCCATTAACTCTCCCTTAAAGGAACCATTCTGAGTTCCCTCCCAAGTCAACATTTATCTTCTGGGCCCTTGAAATTTCATGCGCTACAGAACAAACAGATGCGTGGCCTGGAAAAGGCGCAAAGGACCCTGGGGGCTTGAAAGTCCCACACTTGACCTAGCTGTTATCTTTCTCTACCATTCTGGGCACAATACAGAAGCTTCTTGTGCCTTGAATGTCCCATTTATCAGTTGTTGTTCAGTTGCTCAGTTGTGTCCAACTCTTTGTGAACCCGTGGACTGCAGCACACCAGGCATCCCTGTCCTTCACCATCTCCCAGAGCTTGCTCAAACTCATGTCCATCGAGTCAGTGATGCCATCCAACCATCTCATTTTCTGTCATCCCCTTCTCCTTCTGCCTTCAGTCTCTCCCAGCATCAGGGTCTTTTCTAATGAATCGGCTCTTTGCATCAGGTGGTCAAAGTATTGGAGCTTCAGCTTCAGTCCTTTCATTGAATACTCAGGATTGATTTTCTTTAGGATGGACTGGTTTGATCTCCTTGCAGTCCAGGGGACTCTCAAGAGTCTTCTCCAACACCACAGTTCAAAAGCATCAGTTCTTAGGTGCTCAGCCTTCTTTATAGCCCAACTCTCACATCCATACATGACTACTGGAAAAGCCATAGCTTTGACTAGATGGACCTTTGTTGGAAAAGTAATGTCTCTGCTTTTTAATATGCTGTCTAGGTTGGTCATAGATTTCCTTCCAAAGAGCAAACATCTTTTAATTTCATAGCTGCAGTCACCATCTGCAATGATTTTGGAGCCCAAGAAAATAAAGTCTGTCACTGTTTCTATTGTTTCTCCATCTATTTGTTATGAAGTGATGGGACCAGTTGCCATGATCTTAGTTTTTTAGAATGTTGAGTTTTAAGCCAGCTTTTTCACTCTCCTCTTTCACCTCATCAAGAAGCTCTTTACTTCTCCTTCGCTTTCTGCTATAAGGCTAGTATCATCTGCATATCTGAGGTTATTGATATTTCTCCCAGCAATCTTGATTCCATCTTGTGCTTCATTCAGCCCAGCATTTTGCATGGTGTACTCTGCATGTAAGTTAAATAAGCAGAGTGACAATATGCAGCCTTGATGTATTCCTTTCCCAATTTGGAACCAGTCTGTTGTTCCACGTCTGGTTCTAACTGTTGCTCCTTGACCTACATACAAGTTTCTTAGGAGGCAGGTCAGGTGGTCTGGTATTTCAATCGCTTTAAGAATTTTCCACAGTTTGTTGTGATCCACACAGTCAAAGGCTTTACTGTAGTCCATGAAGTAAAAGCAGATGTTTTTCTGGAATTCTCTTGCTTTTCTATGATCCAACAGATGTTGGCAATTTGATTTCTGCTTCCTCTGCCTTTTCTAAATCCAGCTTGAACATCTGCAAGTTCTCAGTTCACGTACTGTTGAAGCCTAGCTTTGAGGAGTTTGAGCATTACTTTGCTAGCGTGTGAAATGAGTGCAATTATGTAGTACTTTGAACATTCTTTGGCATTGCCCTTCTTTGGGATTGAAATGAAAACTGACCTTTTCAAGTCCTGTGGCCACTGCTGAGTTTTCCAAATGTGCTGACATATTGAGTGCAGCACTTTCACAGCATCATCTTTTAGGATTTGAAATAGCTCAGCTGGAATTCCATCACCTGCATCATCTTTCTTTGTAGTAATGCTTTCTAAGGCTCACTTGACTTTGCACTCTAAGATGTCTGGCTCTAGATAAGTAATCACACCATCATGATTATATGGGTCGTGAAGATATTTTTTGTATAGTTTTTCTGTGTATTCTTGCCATCTCTTCTTAATATCTTCTGCTTCTGTTAGGTCCATATGATTTCTGTCCTCAGTTGTGCCCATCTTTGCATGAAATGCTCCCTTGGTATCACTAATTTTCTTGAAGAGGTCTCTAGTCTTTCCTGTTCTATTGTTTTCCTCTATTTCTTTGCAGTATTCACTTAGGAATGCTTTCATATGTCTTCTTGCTGTTCTTTGAAGATCTGCACTCAGATGGGTATATCTTTCCTTTTCTCCTATGCCTTTTGCTTCCCTTCTTTTCTCAGCTATTTATACTGCCTCCTCAGACAACCATTTTGCCTTTTCACATTTCTTTTTCTTGGTTTTGATCATTGCCTCCTGTACAATGTTATGAACCTCCGTCCATAGTTCTTCAGGCACTCTATCAGATCTAATGCCTTGAATCTATTTGTCACTTCCACTGT